GGGCGAAAGTTCAAACGTTGACAAGAAGCATAGAAAATGGATCAACCGGGATCGAGAGACGACACATGAACTTTTGGTACGTGATTATTTTGCCGTTGATAGTTTATATGATCTATCTAAATTCGAAGAACGTTTTCGTATTAGTAGGACTTTATTTTTACGTATCGCTAGAGATTTGGCACGTAAGTATGAATTTTTTCAATTACGATGGGATGCTAGAGGTAAACGCGGTTTTACCACAATACAAAAATGTACGGCCGCTCTTAGACAATTGGGATATGGTATAACCGCAGACGCATCAGATGAGTATCTGAAAATGTCTGAGAGGACGGGTCGAGAGTGTACATATTTATTTTGTGAGTATGTCATAGAGCTTTACCGTGACATATACTTGCGACATTCGACTAAAAGCGATGTCGAACAGTTGTATGCCGCACATTAAGTGAAACATGGTTTTCCAGGGATGCTTGGTAGCATTGATTGTACACATTGGGAGTGGGAAAATTATCCCAACGCGTGGCGTGGCCAGTTCACGCGAGGTGATCATGGGGTGCCGACTATTATTTTGGAGGTGGTGGTTTGAAATGACTTATGGTTTTGGCATGCATTCTTTGGTATGGCCGGGTCAAACAATGACTTGAATGTGCTCCAAGCGTCTCTGATATTTAACGATATTTTACAAGGCAAAGCACCAGAAATGCCATATGTTGTCAATGGAAATGAATACAAATATGGGTATTACCTAGGTGATGACATATATCCAGAATACGCTACGTTTGTCAAGTCATACATATTTCCGGCCGACGATAAACGGAAAATGTTCAAGTTAGCACAAGAATCTGCAAGGAAGGATGTAGAACGGGCGTTTGGAGTCCTCAAACAAAGGTGACACATAATCAAACATCCGACACGAACATGAGACAGAGAAAAATTGAGAACCGTGTTGACTACTTGTGTTATTTTTACATAACATGATAATAGAAGAAGAGGGTAGGACTATTTTCTCATATACCACAAACGATATACTTAACCCACCCGCAGTAATACAAGTTGGGAGTACGACATACTTCTCAAGGGTTTTGAAAATACAAAACCGTGAAACACATCACAATCTACGACATGATTTGACCGAATACATATGGGAACGACAACTTCAAGGGCAAAATGACGGTGAAGACGACGATGATGACGATGAGGTGGATGACGATGGTGGTGACGATGCAGATGATACCGGTGATGATAACGACGGCGATTAGAATTTTCCTATGTTTTTAATGTTTTTTAATTTTTATTTTATTTAGACAATGTAATGTTATTTTTCTATGTTTTTTTTATGTTTTTTAATTTTTATTTTATTTAGACAATGTAATGTTTAATTTTACTAATTTAAGTTTTAAATTTCTATGTTTTAATTAATAAAATGTGCTCTTATTTTTTATGTTTTAAAAAATTAATGTATCTTATAAATTATGTTTTTTAATTAATATAATGGTAAAAAAAAAAGAATTTGTGGAGTGGTAATAATTTCCAATCTTTAATGGGTTGGTGATGGATTGGATGTGAAACTAACATAACCTATATATTGTAGCACTTTTTCGGTAGGATGGATATGACCACTCCCCATAACCTTACAACATGTTGATGTGAGCACATCTCTTTGATTTTTTGATTTTCCACCAGCATCCGTTATTCCTTTCATCGCTTCCCCACTTTCCAATTTTATTATTAAGTCCATGTATGCTGGTTCATTCTCAAAACACTGATTGATCTTTTGTTTAATTTTCCTTTGTCGATTGATATCCAAAATTTATTTTTACTGAACTTGTTCCATTTTGATTAATTCGTATGTTATTGGCAAATCGAATTCCATAGTTCTATTAATAATTTATTTATTTAATAATCTAAACGCATATGAATATATGATTGTCAACCCATTTACCAAAATTCGATGCTTCCTATTTACTAGAATCAACATTTTAATATGAATATATGTTTTCTTTTTTATGTCACACGCCTCATTAACATTTAATATAGAAATCAACATTTTGATAAAATATATATGGAAAAACGTTTCAGTCGAATTTTGTTTAAAAGCAAAATACAACCAATGATGAGTGACTTCGATAAATTAGGGATATCTATACAAAAATCTTAAATATTTGAAAATTTTTCAATAAAGTTATAAAACTTTTTTTTTAAACAAAAAAATCATAATTATTTAACATTTTGTCCAAATAAACGAAAAAATCTTTTATATATATATATATATATATATATATATATATATATATATATATATATATATATATATATATATATATATATATATATATATATATATATATTTGAACAACAAATGATAGATTATATGATTTTCTTAAAATAATGAGATTTTTCTGTTAAAAAAAACTTTTAGAACTTTATTGAAACTTTTTCCAAAAGTTCGGGACTTTTTTGAAGATTTCCCGATAAATTATGCATCGCATCAGACATGATGCTATCACATAGGGGTGTTCATGGTCCGATTTTTTCGGTTTTTGGGTGAAGCCGAAGCCAAACCGTTACGAACGGTTTTTGTCAAGCAAAAACCGAAACTGGACCATTGAAAATTTAAAACTCAACCAAACCAAACCGTTACTAATGGTTTGGCTCTAGTTTGGTTTCACTGTTTGGGCTTTTTAGGTCTATTTTAGTCGAATCCATTAAACTAATTTAGTAAAAAAAATGCACTATTAAAGGTATTAAAATAGTTAAAATTCTACCAAATATTGTTAAAAATACTGTAATATTAAAGCTGTCAAAACAGCAAAAATTCTGCCTAATATTGTTAAAAAACCTGCAATATTAAAGTTGTCAAAACAACAAAATAAAACTGCCTAATATTGTTAAAAAAATGCAATAATTAAATATTGTGGGTTTTAAAGTTTATTATTTGTATATAAAAATTAATATATAATACAACAAAATACACTTACATATAAAAAAATTAATTAATATATATACAAATCTTACGGTCCGGTCCGGTTTTTATACGCTTTGAAATCTTAAATACCGTAAGCCAAACCGTTCAATACGATTTGAAAAGTTCGAAACCGCAAGCCAAACCGTAAAAAAAATACAAACCGTAAAACCAAACCGATGATCGGTTTGGCCGGTTTCACGGTTTCAAACCGAACCGCGAACATCCCTACTATCACATCAGGGGCGGACCTAGGGGGTCCATGGGGGCACCGTCAATCCCTGATTTTTCCGGCCGCAATGGAAATTTTTTCCTTTGTTTTTCTATTACCGTGCAATCCCCCCCCCCCCCCCCCCCCCGACTTTCCCGTGCAACCTCTACTGTGAAATCCTGTGTCCGCCCCTGATTGACTTTTTAATGTTGTATACTGATCATTTATAAATTCGATTCCATCTCCAAAAAAAAGATCCTCTCATAACTTATAGAGGGTATATTGCATTAAGAAGTGTAGTTCTAATAGATCGAGTATATGAAATGAAATCACAATATGAATTGATTTTAGAACACAAGAGTAAATATAATCTGGATGACTTGATTAAACCTTCTGAAGGTTACAAGAGTGTGTGTAGAGTAAGAACACGAAATGCCCAAAATTTACTCTATCTCTAGAACCTATCACTATTTATAGGAAATCAGATGTTAACAGAAAATATGTAAGGGCTAAAACTATAAAGCTTCGACTTACAAATGTGCCCTTATGAAATACATACACCGAATGTTGAAATACAGACTTCGACACTAAGACAGACTCAAAACACTTCGACACCTCACAATACAATTCGACCTCAACATTCTCCCCCTTTGTGAGTAGTGTCGAGTCCTAGGTCAATAGCATCTTCGTTTCCAGATGAAGAATCCTTCTAATCTCCATGTACCAAACAATTGTTCTTCGAACATTAACTTTATCTCCATCAGTATTCCTTTTGCAATTATTGATATGAACAAGTAGATTCGTATACTGAGAATTAGTGTATCTTTCAACATCTTCGACTATGAACAAAAACTTGGTATTCTTGTTGTGTTTATTTTCCCAACAAAAACAATTCCCAATGGTTTAACACAAATTTCACCATCAACAAAATCCTTCAAGCTTCCTAGACCTTTCAACAAAGACTGTGGCACAACAATTTGTTTTCCCATCACCAAAGCTAACTCCACATCCGTTAAGGCAAGACAATCATAATAATTGTCAATGAAAAGCTTGATATGTGCAAATCCAAGCAGAAAATCTTCTTTGCTTTTTACATGGAGTTTCGAAACATCAACTCCACTCAATATCTTTGCGACATTGATTAAATCATTGAGGTTCATCAATGGAAAGTCTGCAACTATAAAATCAACAGCTACATTATTTGCATGAACCACGTGATAACGAAAGTTCTACAAAAGACCTTCGAAAAGTTGATCCTTGGCAACATCCAACACTTTGACAATTTTTACTAAAGACAAAATCTCTTCTTCTTTCTTTCCCAGTACTACATGAAACCTCCTTTTCAACTTCTTGTACTCTTCTTTGTCTTCGAACTTATCAATTAATTGATGTTGAGCTGATATGAACATTATATGATTAATAGGGGAATCCAGTTGGTTGAAGTCTGAATTTTCTATCTCATAGCTCTTCTTTGGGACTTTCAGAAAATCATACATGTTACTAAGTGAAACAATCTGTTCAATAGTTTCGTAATAGTATGGTTTGGTTGGGTCACCCTTCTTAAGACCAGGAGGATCTCCTTCCCTTTGTATTAGAATACTTTAGATCTGCCTTTGTCTTTCAAACTCCTTTTCCAAAGCAATCTTCTTATCTTCATCTGTTGGATTAGTTGTGATACCCTTCCTTTTTCCTTCTACTTTTTTTTTTTGATGAAGGTGGCTTCAAACTTGATCCACCAACAAATGAATCAATAACAATACCTTTTGCTAAAGGCTTCGAAGTCATGGTAGTTGAGGTAGTTGATGTTGAAGTTGGAATTAAAGTTGGAATCTATGTGCTTATTAATTTCCCAATAACCTTACCTTGATCCAAATCCCTTGATGCTCGAACACTCTTTTCTCCCCCTTGAACCCTTGTTTTAATAAGTGGGGCATTAGAAGGCATCAACTTGACCAATTTGAGAAGAGGAGTGAAGTCAGCCTTTAAAGTTGACTCCAAAGAAGAAAACAATGTAGATAATGATTCTTTAGACACCGAAGGGGAAGGAGAAACTGTGAGTTGCAAAATCAAAGCCTTCAAATCACCTAACAAATCTTCCATCTTGGCAAAACCCTGGGAATCAGATTCTGAGTTCGTATCCACCTTGGTGAGAATCAAATAGTAAGACTCCACAACTGTCTTTACAACATAGACAATGATATCAACCTTCGTATAAAGATTAGAATAACGATGATCAAGCTTAGTAAGCTCCTTGGTCAACTTAGTGCAAACCTCTTCAATTTTCAAATTTACATCCTCCTGCACTCTTTTTACTGCTTAAACAAATAGAAGACGTCTTTCCTTAGCGACCTCCCTTAAGTCTCTAACCTCATGAACAAATGATTCAGATTGGTGCTTCAAACGTTCTTCTTGCTTCATATCAATTTGTTCCATGAAGGTTTTCAATCGATGTTCTTGGGCTTTTAACAACACATCATCTTCAATGCCTGAGACAGAATGGCGACTCCCTGTGTCTGCTTGAATCTGAAGCAAAGAATTCAACTTGCGATTCAAGATTTTAAATTGTTTTCTTGAGATTAACATGTGATCAGGAATACCCTCTTCCTCAGGATCAAACTGAAGATCACCAAACGACACCATGTAATCATCATCATCTCGTGCAACCTCAGAAGTAGACTTTAGACCATCAGAGGATTGGGAAGGAAATAAAGAAGTGATTGGCTGATCCATGATATTTGAAAAAGTTCGGGATATTGTAGAAGCAGGTAGGGAAGTGGGAATTGGCGAAATAAATGGTGGTAATGAAGTAGATGTATCCGTAACAATGGTTTTGAATGTTGATGAAGTAATGATAGAAACAGGAATAGATGAAGTAAAGACATTCGAAATACCCTGAGCTTCGTGTGTCGACACCCCATCACCCATGTTGGCATTTTTGTCCATATTAGATATGTCCACAATTATGCTTGAAGTTCGTACCTCATCCGAAATGGACTTGGCAAACAAAACTTCAGGTGGTATGACCGAAGTATGCTCAGGGATGGATAAAGTATATGAGTCACCTAGATTAGTAGATATGTCCACATTAGATTCTTTCACAGAGCCACTAAGATTACCAGTAAGTAACCTTGAAAGTCGACTTGACTGGTGAGTCTCTCTAGGGTGAATCGAAGCTAAAATCACTTTGTAAAACAGGAGAGTCATTACCTTCTAAATCAGTCTTGATAACAACTTCATCGAGATGATCTTCCAATGCCTTCACTTTCTTATTGATATTTTTCACCAAATTAGGAGCTCTTCGTTTCTTTGAAACTGAAGAAACTAGAGCAGGGAGTTCACGAATAACCATCCCCTTTTGATTAAGCTGGGGCTTTCGAATATTTTGAAGCTTGGATGCAAAAACCCCTTTTGGTGAAGAGATAGATTTTTCCAGATCATCTGCCCTTGGCTCTAGTGAGTGATGAGGCCAATGTACAGGCTTCTTCGTACGTTTTAACACACCAAATTTCGAAGGGACCACCTCCTTAGGAATATCCTATACAATTGGTTCTTGAACAGACTTTGTAACGGGCTTCATAACCACTTTTGCAATTTTCTTAGGAACAATGCAAGCTTTTCATCCTTTGAATATTTCTTGGGACTTTTACCACGTTTTGAAGTTCTTGCTATTTCTTTTGGTAACAATATGTCTGTTTCGACCGAATAATTGATGGATTGAAGATAAGCCACGAGAATAGGGTTTGTTGGATCAACTTTGCGAAGCATAACATTTGTAATCCTCGCAACATTGGGAAATACCTCAGAATTATCTTCAACATTCTTTGGATGTTGATAAACCCAAATTCAACAGTAGGAATACCCAGAGGTACATCAATCCCTTTCTTTTTATACACGTATTGCAAAATTAGACTCCAATAGCGTGCACAGGAAACACCATTAGCCATATTAGTATGTGAGATATGAACACCAAATTCTTCCCACAAGTTAGTAGCATAATCAATCTGCAAATCATAATACAACCCAACAACCATGGCATAAATCTCAGGATGTCCTTTATCCAAACCCACACTTCTTCCTGTCAAGCATCAAAGAAAGATTCTAAAGAGGAAGTTCCACATACATGGTAACGAAGATTTCTTGAACTGATTGATTTTAGTGAGTTGGGGTTGATGACCATCTCGTTGAACATATGAACCACCTGTTCATTGGTAACCTTATAAAAAGGTTCAACATTAGGAATGTTCAAGATTTATAAAAACTATCTCTTCATAAGCTTGTATTTCTTGTCATTAGTTAATTAAAATGTAACCACCTTATAAGTCTTGTTGAACACAACAGTAGAACCGAATAACGATAACGAGGTCATCAGAACTAAAAAAGATGTTGTCATCACAGTAGATAAAACTGAATGTTTGAGAGACACAATCAACATTTGCAGTTCTTCAGGGTATTTCAATTCATCAGGTTGAACCCTATAGTTTGATCCTTGAATCTTCAACAACGGTTGAGATATAGCTCCATCAGTGGTTTGAGAAGGATCAACTGGAATATTTTTGGCCGCCATTGTTAGGGTTTTGAAGATTTGAGAGAACAGAGATGTATAGGAAAACTGAATTTGGGGAAAAACAGTAGCCTGATCGCATAAAGATTGAATAAGATATCCCTAAAGGCCTTTTATATTGATATACCAAGTTTGAATTTGAAGCGGTTAGCCATAACTTCATGCCACATGTACCCTTGAAAAATGGATCAATTACCATATAATATGCCCCGCCTAAAAAGTGATGTGCACTTTTTCCTGGAAAACTCTGAGGCAACCAAACCGTAACATCAATTAGTTGTTTTGCTTGCCCCAATAGGATAAGAACCATCATAAAACCTTATATACGAGGCTGGGCTCATTCGCTTTTGGGTTTAGAAACGAAATCATTTCCAGACTTTCAAAATCTAGGTTTGGATTGATAATACCCAAGACCTCGAGGATTTCTATGCAATTATGTGCCAACGAAAAATTAGGAACCAAAATAACAAAAATATGTGAATAGTGACATCAAATAATCATTTTATGGAAAAGTAGATGGATCCTGGACAAAGATAACTTCATTTGAAATCAAGAGATATATCGAACTGCTATTGTGGTATCCCGTGATATATAATCAAATACTTATAGAGGTGTATCGAAGGGCATCTTTTGAATCAGTCTTCAAAGGTTGGCTTAATTTTGTTCATGATCACAACTTGACACAAGATCAATGTGATATTCAGACATAAATGATATTCCAAGAAAAACTAAAGTCTGGATCTTGTTGGGTAAAAATGTCTTGGGTGAATATCATTTTATTAAGACCGCTCATAACGAAGGAATACGATTTTAAATATTGAAGTAAGGTACATAAACACATGTTTCATGAAAAACTTGAACAATGTTCACCGTCAATTCCTTTTATGGTTGGAAAATTTTGATTTCACTATCATCACGGTCTCATGAATCAGGATCATGAACACAGACTTGTGCAATATCTATATTCTGGTTGGTTTCAACAAGAGATGTTGAGGATATGAAGGTGATGTTTGTGAATTGTGAAGATTTATTTTGATGAAAAATATTATTCAAGAAACATGTTGTACCTCTGCAAATAATAAGGACCAAATAGAAATCTCTTTACTCATGATGAGAAGAGAAAGGCAGCTCGTCGACTAATGTGAATATAGCCTAATTGGTAAGGAACCCTCGTGGTGAGTGATCCAATAAGGCTTCGACACACATTGAGTCTTTAAGGCTTAGGTCGACATACAACATCATGCTTTTAGGGATGCCTAACGAGTGCAAAGTACAGAAATTATACATGTCCCTTCAAGTAACGAAGCAATGACCACCACACAATGTCGATTTGAATCTGTCCTGAAATCCACGAAACACACACAAAAATATTTTTGGATTTTTGTTTTTGAAAATTAAAAGAACAAAAATAATAAAATCTTTTTGGAATTTTTGTTTTGGAAATGTAAAGACAAAAGAAAAAAATATTTTTGGATTTTGATCATTTAAAAAAAATCTTTTTTTTCTTTTTGATTTAGAAAAACAAAACAAAATGAAAAACAATCAGCATAAAGACAAAAATCATTGATATATCAAAGCAACTCAGATAACGAGGCTATGCAGAATCGTTCAACAATATGTCGAAATCAAAGCATGTTGAACACTGAATAAGGAACAGTAACTATTGATTCATTTAACGAAGTGCCGTCTCCTCGTTATTCCATGACGAAGACTCATTTGGATCATCATTTGTATCAATCATCCCCAGTCTAGACAAGATATTAAGAAAAGATTTTCATCCAAAGGCTTGGTAAAGATATCAACAAGTTGATCTGTAGTTTTCATAAAGTGAAGTTCTATATTCCCATCCTTGACATGATCTTTGATAAAGTGATATTGAAGTACGATATGTTTGGTCTTCGAATGTTGCACCAAATTATGACAAATTTGAATGGCACTCTGTGAATCACAATGTAAAGGTATCTTCTTCATGTGGATTATGTAGTCATGAAGCTGACTTTGAATCCAAATGATTTGAGGAGTACAAGCTGCAGCAGCAACATATTATGCTTCTGCCGTAGAAATCAAAACACAAGTTTGTTTCTTCGATTTCCAGCTTACAAGGTTCCCATCAAGTAATTGACATCCACTAGTAGTTCTTTTTCTTTCGAGTTGGCATCCACCTAGGTCTGCATCATAAAATGTTTGAACGAAGAAAAAAGTCTTCGAAGGGTGCCACAAACCCAACGAAACTGTCCCTTTGAGATAGAGAAAAAAAATACTCTTTACAACAGTGAGATGAGGTTCCCTGGGATTTGATTGATACCTAGCACAATTAAGAACAACAAACATTATATCATGTTGACTAGTTGTTAAGTATATTAATGAATTGATCATGCTTCTGTTCAATGTGAGATCGACAACATGCTTGTCCAACGAAGGGCCAAGAGTTGTGCCAACAGCCATAGGTACTCGTAATTTTGAACTATTCGTCATTCCAAACTTTTCAAGAAGATTTCGAGAATACTTCTCTTGATTGATAAAGATTCCTGCTTTGCTTTGACGAATGTTTAATCTTAGAAAATGGTGATTTTCCCCATCATGCTCATTTTAAATTAACTCTTCATCATATTTTCAAACCCACTCAACAATGCAGGGTCAGTAGAGCAAAAAATAATGTCATTGACATAAGTTTGAACAAGCATGAGATGATTCCCAACTTTCTTTCGAAAGAGAGTGGGATCAACTAATCCTTGTTTAAATTTCGATTGCTTTAAAAAAATTGGTAAGAGTTGCATACCAGGCTTGTGGTGCTAGTTTTAATCCATAAACTATCTTAACAAGAATATAATAGTGATCAAGGAATTTATCATTAACAAAACCTGGTGGTTGCTTGACATACACTATCTCTTCCAGTACACCATTCAAAAACACACACTTGACATCCATTTGATAGACATCAAAGTACTTGTGTGCTGCATAAGCTAAAAAGATTCGAACACCCTTGAGTCTTGCGACATGGGCGAATGTTTCTTCATAATCAATACCTTCTTGTTGCAAATACCTTTTAACAACTAGCCTAGCTTTGTTTCTAACCATGTTTCCTTCTTTGTACATTTTATTTTTAAAGATCAATTTTAAACCATTTACTGACACATCATTTGGTTTTGGAACAAGACGTCAAACTTTG